GGGCCAGCAAGGTGACGGATCCAAAGTACTACGCGTACCACAGAACGGTCCACCACCCTACGAGATCATGCTACCACCTCAAGGACAAGATCCAGGCGTTAATTGACGTAGGGGTATTTTATCTCAGGATCTGAGACTATAGCCATAATTTACAGAATTCATTATAAAACATTAACATCTTTAGCTCCAAAAGCTAAGATTCATTCTAAACCAGGAAAAACAGTACTGGTTGAAACTAATGTTTTATCATCTAATATTGCTGTAAATAGACAAATTAAATGGGATGAAATAAATTTCCCTGACAGTTGGGTCATACCTAACGCTGTTCAACCTCAACCAATTATTAACCAAGAAATTGATCAAATAACCCAGACGGTTGATGGAGAAGTAGAAATTATATTTAATCCTTCTCGAACTATTAGATTATCTGATGTTACTAGTACATCTAGAAAATCAGTCTCTGTTTCTAGATCAGGTTCTTATAGAACGAATGATGTTAAAGGCATTAATATCTCAGAAAATAATATTCCTCATGGATTATACAATAAAGAAAAGGAGAGAAACTCTCCAACCAGCTCTGAAATGAGTTTTAGAATGCCTGGTTAAAATGAATATTAAAGAAAACAAAGATATAAAAAACTTTCTTAATAAAGAATTTTATGAAGAAAAACATAAAAAAAATTAGACAATGGTTTTTTAAAAGCTTTTCAAAAACTGAACAGCTAGAATTTAAAGACAAGTATTATATGGTTTTTTAAAAGCTTTTCAAAAACTGAACAGCTAGAATTTAAAGACAAGTATTATACAGACTTGCAAGAAGAGAAAAAAATAGAATATTTTATACCATGGTTTTTAAAGTATTATATACAAAATCAAACAAATCAAGTTAGAGTAATAGAAGAACATTATAAACAATGGAAATCTGCCACTGGTATGAATATAAGATCTATATATCCTCCAACAGATGCTTTAAAAATATCTGGAATCCATTCTAGTAATCTAGAAACTAATGCTTTTGTTAAACAAAATGAATCAACAGATATAACTCTTAAAGAGTTAAATAAAATAATAAAACAAAATAATTATACAAATCTACATCTTCAAATAGTAGGAAACCAATTAATAAGAATTGAAGATGACTTAGATAAATTAATAAATAAATTTAATGAAGTAATACCTTCATTAAAAAGTCTAGAAACAAATAAGATTATTAACACTGATAATAGAGAGGCAAAGGTTATGATAAAACCTCCTATAGACATTTCAGGTTTTAAAAGAGGAGATGAAGTAACTTCTGATATAATAGAATTATTAACTAAGAAGTTTAATAACTCCAAGCTAAATATGGTAGCTTCCACTTCATCTTTTATTCAAAATGAAGATTCTGAAAATGATAATTCTCAAGAAGAAATATCTGAAGATGAATTAACCCAAAATGAGTTATTAACACTAGAAAATCAATTTTCATCAATAAACAAAATAAAAAATCCTTCAAAAAGAATTGAGAGATATTACTATAAAAGACCTACTCCTACTGATGTTTTATTTGAAGAAAATGACACATATATTCAAAGTGATTATAATGGAAGGAACATCTATGAATGGAATATAGATGGAGCTTCTGACTCTCTTATATATTCTACTATGCATAGAATGATGATGTATTCTACTATATGTAGACAAAATGGTAATACCGACAAAATCATTGCTTCTTATATTACATGTGGCTTTACTGGTGTCCTTAAAGGATGGTGGGATAATTATTTATCCTCTAATGCTAGAGATGAAGTTTTGAATGCAACAAAAATTGTTAATGGTATTCCCCAAGAAGATGCTATTTATACGTTAATGTTAGCAATTACACACCATTTTACTGGATTATATCAAGATAATGGAGAAAGAATAAGGACTCTTTTACAGAATTTTAGATGTCCATCTTTAACCCATTTTAGATGGTATAAAGATACTTTCCTAAGCAGAGTTATGATGCTTGATAATGCTAATAGCGAACATTGGAAATCTAAATTTATTGATGGTTTACCTACTCTTTTTCCTGATAGAGTTAGAAATAAGATAAGAGATGAACAGGGAGGTTATCTTCCTTATGAAAATCTAACTTATGGGTATTTAACAAATGCTTGTATTAAAGAAGGGTTAGCCCTATGTAATGATTTAAAATTAAAAAATCAATTAAAGTCTCAAAGACTCACAAAAAGAAAAGAATTAGGAGAATTTTGCGAACAATTCGCTTTCGATCAACCTTATAGAGTTGATAAAGAACCTATAAAGGATTTTAAAAATAAACATTCTTCTTTTAAAAAGAAAAAGAAAAGATTTGTCAGAGAAGAAAATAGCGAAAAAAGAGATAAACATAAAAGGGATAAACATAAAAAACCTTTTAAATCTAAAAAAGATAAAAAAGAAATCCATTGTTATAAGTGTGGAAAAATAGGGCACTATGCTAGTAAATGTTATACAAAAAAGAAGATAGATGCCATTGAAGATGAAGGTCTTAAAAAGACTTTATATAAAATAATGATTAATAGTGAATCTGAAGAAGATGAATCATCTTACTCTGAGTCAGAATCTGACACACCTTGTGTATGTAATACTCAAAATTGTGAGAAAAATGCTGACTACTGGAAAGCAATAGTTAATATGAATGGTTTATCCATTAATATGATATCCTCAAATCAAGAGCTAATTACTAAAATTATATCTGAAGATATATCTTTTGAAACAAAAAGAGAATTAATAGAATCTCTTTTAAAAACCAAAGAGAAAATTGATAAACCAAATATTGAAAATGTTTACTCTATGTCGGAAGTCCTAAAAAGACAAAAGAATCAGGCTTCCACATCAAAATCACTTTCTTTATCAAATTTAAATAAAGAAATTCAAGATTTGAAAAAAGAAGTTAAAAATCTTAAACAAGAAAATAAATATATATTAAATAAAATAAATAATGAAGAAAATCAGAAAACACTGATAATATCAGAAAATAACAAGAGAATGAAAATACAGAATTTTTACAAATCTTAAAACAAGTTACCTCTCAAAAGTGGTATATAAAAATTACCTTAGCCATAGCAGAACAGGTTGTTATACCAGATCTTATAGCTTTAGTAGATAGCGGTGCAGACTTAAATTGTATTAATGAAGGAATAATACCTTCAAATTTTTTTGAAATTACTACTCAGACTCTGAGTAGTGCTAATGGGAACAATTTAAATGTTAAATATAAGTTACCGAATGCTCACATATGTGTTCAAGGAACTTGTATACCTATTCCTTGTGTCCTTGTTAAAAACCTATCGCAAGACATTATATTAGGAACTCCCTTTTTACATAATATTATGCCTATTGTTCAGGTAGATACTAAATGTATTAAAGCTACTTATAAAAACAATGAAATAATATTTGAATTTATTTCAGATCCTCAAACTCGTTTATTAAACGAAGTTAGAAAAGTTATTCTCAAAGAAAACCAAATTAATTTTCTGAAAGAAGAAGTTTTATTTGTTCAAATAGAAGAACAAATTAAAATAAAAAAAGAGTTAATAACTCAAATAGAAGATAAATTTAAGATTACTATATGTAGTAATCTACCAAACGCATTCTGGGAAAGAAAGAAACATATTGTTTCTCTACCATATATTGAGAATTTTAATGAAAAAGATATTCCTACAAAATCTCGACCTTGTCAGATGAATAAAGAATATCTAGATTTATGTAAAAATAAAATAAGCTCTCTTATAGAGAAAAAATTAATAAGGAAATCATATTCTCCTTGGAGTTGTACAGCATTTTATGTTAATAATGCTGCTGAACAAGAAAGAGGAGTACCTCGTCTTGTTATCAATTATAAACCCTTAAATACAGTCTTAAAATGGATAAGATATCCTATTCCTAATAAAAGAGACTTATTAAATCGCATTAATAATGCAAAAATATTTTCTAAATTTGACTTAAAGTCAGGATATTGGCAAATCCAAATTGAAGAAAAAGATAGATATAAAACAGCTTTTGTTGTTCCATTCGGACATTATGAATGAAATGTTATGCCCTTTGGATTAAAAAATGCCCCTTCTGAGTTTTAAAATATCATGAATGAGATATTCATTCCTTATACGGGTTTCATTCTGTCATATATAGATGACATATTGATATTTTCTCAAAATTTTGACCAACACGTCAAACACTTAGAAATATTCAGGACTTTAGCTATAAGAAATGGATTAGCAGTATCTGCTCCTAAAATGAAATTATTTCTTACCCAAGTAAGATTTTTAGGTCATAATATTCATAAAGGAACAATAATTCCTATCGATAGAAGTATAGAGTTTGCCTCTAAGTTTCCTGATATTATTAGTGATAATAAGCAACTACAAAGATTTTTAGGCTCCCTTAATTATATTGCTGATTATTATAAAAATCTAGCTCAAGATACAGCTATTTTATATAATAGATTAAAAAAGAACACTAAACCATGGTCAGATTAGCATACTGAAGCTGTTAAAAGAATAAAAACCAATGTTAAATGTTTACCTTGTACTCATTTGTTAAATGTTTACCTTGTACTCATTTAACAAACGCTGAATGGTTTAAAATTGTTGAAACTGATGCCTCTAATTTAGGCTATGGAGGTATCCTTAAACAAATTAATCCAACTACTAATAAAGAGCAATTAATTAGATTTACCTCTGGTAAATGGGATAAAACCCAATTTAATTATTCCACTATAAAGAAAGAAATGCTTTCTATCATTAAATGCTTATCTAAATTTAGAGATGACATTCTTAATCAAGAATTTCTTCTAAGAATTGACTGTAGCTCTGCTAAGAGTGTGATTGAAAAAGATGTTAAAAATCTTGTTTCTAAACAAATCTTTGACAGGTGGCAAGCTGAACTAGCTATGTATGAATTTAAAATCGAATATATTAAAGGTAGTAATAATTACTTACCTGATTTTCTTACTCGTGAATTTTTACAGGGTACAAATGAAGCGGAATAATCCCTCTTCAAGAGGGGGGAGAGGCAGGGGTTCACCCCAAAATCAAAATATTCAGAGGGCTTATAGTCCTTACGAATTTTTTGAAAATTCAAATCTTGAGCCAAGTTCATGGAGAACTATAGCCAAAAAGAACTACTCTAGTAGTCAGGCTCAAAGCCCAAGCCCATCTAAAGCCTTTTATAAAGGCCTGGTCAACAATCTGATAAATGAAGTTAATCAGGAAGAAAATCCTGAGCCCTTCTCAGCTATAGTGAAAAATGAAGTACAATGGACTCCTAAAAGGGGATCAGAGACGGTTCTATATTACTCCTCCTTCCGCCGTCCTGACCTCTCATCCCTCGTCTTCTCTGCCTCCCCCTCCCCAGACCCCTTCCTGTGGAACTCCATCATCCAATCCCATTACTCCAACTCCCTCTTCTCCTCCTCCCTCTCCCTCTGCACCCGAATGCTCTCCTCCGGTCCCCACCCCGACCATTTCACTGTCCCCATCGTCGCATCCTCCTGCGCCGAGCTACAACATGTCGTGTTCGGAACGTCCATTCATGGGCTTTCTGTTAAGCTTGGGCTTTCTGGTGTTGGGTCAGCCTTGGTGTACATGTACTCAAAGTGTGGCCTTGTCTGGGATGCGGTTAAGTTGTTCGATGAAATGCGTGAGAGAGATGTAGTTGCTTGGACGGCCATTGTGATTGGTTGTGTGAGTAATGGGAAGAGTGAAATGGGTTTGGTTCGTCTTCGTGAGATGTGTCAGGGTGGTGTCCTTCCGAGCTATAGAACCCTGGAGGGAGGGATTCAGGCGTGCGGGGGATTGGGGGCGATAATGGAAGGAAAATGTTTGCATGGGTTTTCTTTTAAGATTGGGACTGAGGGATTTCGTGATATTAAATCGACAATTCTTGCGATGTACTCTAAATGTGAGAGTTTGGAGGAAGCGTGTAGGGCGTTTAGGGAGTTACCCGAGAGGGATATCGTGTCGTGGACCTCAATTGTGGGTGTTCATGCTAGAAAGGGGCTTGTTAAGGAATGCTTGGAGCTATTCCGAGAGATGATGGACTCTGGGATGGAACCCGATGGAGTTTTTCTAAGTTGCTTCCTTGCGGGCTTTGCTAATGGTAATAATGTCTATGGAGCAAAGGCCTTCCATGGGATTATATTAAGAAGATACCTTGAATTGTATAAATTGGTTGTCAACTCTTTGATTTGCATGTATTGTAAGCTTGAGCTGCTGGATGATGCAGAAATTTTTTTACATATGACGAGTAGTCAAGATCTGGAGTCATGGAACTTGATGGTTTCTGAATATTCAAAACGAGGTCTGGATGCCAAGTGTTTGGACCTCTTTAGGGAAATACATTTTAGTTGTCCAGGCATGGGTTCTGGTATCAGTAGCGTGATCTTTGCAATCTCATCATGTTCCCAGTTGGGTGCATTGCTTTTAGGCCAATCTATTCATTGTTACACAATAAAGAGTGAAATTTGTGGAGACCCATCAGTTTGCAATTCTCTCATTACCTTATATGGTAGATGTGGGAGACTAGACCTTGCAAGAAGGATTTTTGATAATTTGCCTAGAGATGTTATTACTTGGAATTCAATGCTTTCAGCTTATGCACAAGTTGGACATTCTAACGATGCTTTATCGCTGTTTGACCAAATGCTCTTTGAGAATGTGAAGCCTAATTCCACTACTCTGTTGATTGCTCTCTCAGCTTGTTCTCATGTGGCAGCCCTACATAAAGGAAAATGGATTCACGAGCATATAAAGGAATTAAGACAAGAGTTTGATGCATCTCTTTACACTGCCCTCATTGATATGTATGCCAAATGTGGGAAACTTGATACAGCAAGAGAACTTTTTGATTCTATGCTTTATAGAGATGTTGTTACTTATAACGTAATGATTTCAAGTTATGGGATACATGGGAATGCTAGAGAAGCACTAGAGATATTCGAGAAAATGGAAAGAAGAGGTGTGAAACCTAATGGAGTCACATTCCTTGCTCTTCTTTCCGCTTGTAGTCATGGAGGATTGGTTGATGACGGTAAGAATTTGTTTGATATAATGCAAAAAACCTACTCTATTGAACCAACATTAAAGCATTATTCTTGTATGGTTGATCTTCTTGGTCGATCTGGGAATCTTTACGAGGCTGAAGCGCTGATCAAGTCAATGCCAATTGAACCTGACGGAGGAATTTGGGGAGCCTTGCTTGGTGCCTGCCGAATGTATAATAATGTTGAGATGGGTGAGAAAATAGCAAATTTAGCTTTTGAATTTGATCCCAAGAATGAGGGGTATTACGTTCTGATGTCAAATATGTATGGTTGCTATGGGAGGTGGAAAGAAGTGGAGAGCTTGAGAGGAGTAATGAAGTGTAGGGGAGTGAAGAAGAGGGCTGGTTGGAGCTCGGTTGAGATGGAAGGAAGAATTCATGTATTTGTAGTGGGAGAGAAGTCTCATATACAGTCTGAGGAAGTAGATTTGGTGCTTGAGGCTCTGGGAAGGATGTTGGAGGAATAGAGTTATTTCACAGAGAAGAAAAATGGAGAACTTATATGGCTTGTATAAAATTATGAATCTGAAAAATGATGGCAGCTGATGATATTCTTTCCTACAACAGAGGAGTTTGTTCATGTGTATCAACACGGAAACCATCACATATGTGATCTGGTAAATCATTATTTCAATTATTTTTATAGTCTCACATGCATTTGCAACTTGGCATAGTTCTCATTTACATTAGCTCAAGGGCAAACACACTCAATGTATTATCAATATATATTAAATGCAACCTCTTTTCCGTTTCTTATTATATATTTAACCAACTACTCAAATTTCTCCGAGAAGATGTTATAAAATATAAGCAGAAGCTGATGGGATATAGTACAGGAAATTGTAGGAAGGGATGTTGTTATCTAAATAGCCACATTTGATGCTTTAGCATCAACTCAGCATCTGATTCAAGGAAGCATTATTTTTTGCAATTGAATAAGTTTATAAGCCCAAATCTATGTCATATCGGGGCCTATGTTGGTTAAGCTCAGTCTATCACTGTCCTGTTAGGTGTGCTCTTACCTGACACAAGCAAGCACATTTAGTAGAAAGCAGAGTTAGTATTAAAATGTAAAATTATTGCCCTCAACTGTCACCACTTCTTTGGAGCTTTGGTGCAGTGGCAGGTATTTACGATGATTTACGATGGTATTAGAGCAACCCAGATTCGAACCTTACTAGCCACAAGTTTGTAAAGCTGATTAAGAAAATATTGTTTCTGAATCGAGGTTTTAGCCCATGAAAGGACCCTTAACATGTGGGGGACCCTCAACTTCGTAGGTTTGGCGTGGTGACAGGGTTTTTAAGATCTTAAAGTCCCTGTCACTAAACCAAAACTCTGAGGTTTTGGTTTGAGAATTATAATTTTATATTCTAATAGTTAATGCTCAGTAATTTAATATGTTTTTAATGTTAAAGATGAGAACACAATCTTCTTTTGCATCAATGTCTTACAGATTCCATCATCATTGTTAATTTTCAGAATTAATTATCTGATATAATTGAAAAGCAAGATATATACATTTCTTTTTAATGCCTCTCATTTGATAACTCCAGAAATTGTTAATGCGGTTTTTCTTTTTAACTTTATTGTCTGCTTGTCTGTGGATAATTGCAATTTCCAAATCTTACATGTAACATAAGCAATTTTTTTAATACAATAAACTTTTTTCTTGTAAACCATGCTGGAACCTTAATTAATAGAAGCTTAATATCAAGAATTTGGATACCTCAGTTGCTTAGTAAATATTTTGCTGTCTGGTTCATTTCTCTAAACTGAAGCGCTAGATAAAATTGCCTTGAAAATTCAAGAAGTTTAACATCCTTCAAGTAAACTGATGCTTGACGGTAACATATTCCCTGACAAACATGTTTCAATGTTTTACAGGTACAAAGAAGATCCTGCATCTACTGTCTAACAACAAAGCAGTGCTAATCGAATGGTATGAGAAGAATCATCAAAGTTGAGCTAGACCAATAAGGAACAATCAGATTAACCTTACCTTTTTTAATGTGCTGAGCAGGGAGCTAAAGGTACTTCTGACTCTTGTTAGTTATTTTGTCTGAACCATGGTCCAGCTATAATTTATTTATGACATTATAGATTTCATTAGCTCTAATTTTCATCCAATATCCATTTAAAATAGATACAATACTGGTAAAACTATCTGAGATACCCGAATATACCAATATGCCCATGTACACATATTCTTAGTATGCCTCATAACATGTGATATAGAAGGTAGCTCATACCATCTAATATGCTTTGAGAGATATGAAGATTATTCCGTTAATTTCATTTACTTCAGCATTTAATTGTAAAACTTTAATCTCCCCATAATCCGTTAATTTTATCATCTACTTGGATACTCAGCTTCCCTCCTTAGTCTAATAGGCAACTTAACACACGATGATCATATGACATTTCACTAATTGACCAATTTGATATAGATTTTCACGTCCGACATATTCCAAGTGCTCTCTATTAAGTTAAACATATGGGCATTACAATGTCCTTTCATAGAATTTGTGGGCACAGCCATGTTGAGGCGGGGTGGTGCAAGTGCCTACCTGGATTTTAATTTTCATTATCACTAAAGCATATAGTAAATGAAGTTAACTATGAGGAGCTTGCTAATATGGCATTAGACATGCATTAATATTTAATTATTCAATATAAAAAGTCATTTACATCATTATGATTGATTGTCCCTAGCTGCTTGGAGATCCTGGGTTCACCCCTGACGGATTTGAAGATTATAAATCATTTAGCTGGTCTTAAAATTTTGGGCTGCTTCTTGTTTCCGTTATTGAGTCTATCACTATGACAACAAATTACCATACTGAATCAAAACTCTTTTTCTTTTTTTCCATTTTACACCTTGAGGTTTTGACTTAGTGTGAGCTAGTGTGTGCCACCTGGATTTTTGCTAATAAACAACAAGATTATCACTATTGGTTTCTTTTTTATTTAGATTAAATTTTAGTAGTATTTTATTTTAAATGCTTTGTTTTAGTTTTGATATTTTTTCCATTAAAGAATATTGGGGAAATATGTCACAATGACAACTAAGGAGACATAATTCTGATAGCAAATTAGTAATTGGATCATTAATCTATTCTTAGATTTCTGCGCTTAAAATCAAGATGGATGCTCTTATATGCTTTTCTTTCATTACTTCGTCCAGTATTATCATCTTTCTAGAGAACTACTGTGATGACATATTGTGAACAAGGAAGCTGTTGCAGAAGCCAAATGATATTAACATCAGCAAAATATGGTAAGATATTGCTTGTTATTGTGTCAATGTTATTTTTATCCCATAGAATCTATACAGGGGTACTCACATTGTCTTGCAGACTGTTGATTATTTTTTAACTTGACAAAGAGATGGAGCCTAATTTAAGTCTCATTGTTTATGGAACTCGTGGCTTTTATGAACTCCCACTGTTACCTATGTCCTAAAGAAAACAGAATGCACCCGGTAATCTCTGAGTTTCTATGGACAACTTTATACTTGTTGCCTATTGTTTTGATGATTTTGAGCACTTGTCTATTAAAACCTTTTCTGGTGAACTTCTGCTGTTGAATCAAATAACCCCATGATAGTTGTGGTGGTTTGATTCTACTGATAAAATCTACAGTTTTGTTTATCTACCATTTCCTTCAAGTGCACCGGTTGAAATGATGGTTTCTCTTTCGTTGATCTTGAAATACAGTTGGAAGGAAGAGAACTTTCAAGTGGATCAGATCCACTGCTTATATGGTTGTCGAAAGTAAAGGATGAGATCAGTACAATAATTGCCTGTTTTTGGGTTGATCAAAGAGTTACCATCAGTACAATGGCTCTTGCAGATTGTTCTATTGGCGAACATGGACGTTCAATATCTCTATAAATACAAACGATAGTTATAATGCAGAGCATCAGAATGTATCTTCAATCTGCTGAATGTATCTCTCAATGCAAAGTTTTGGAGTTCAATATGTGTGATATTCATTGCTTAACCGCATAAGAATTAGAATCCAAATTCAACCAAAATATTGATAATTAATTTTATTTGGACAATATGCAGTTCTGTTCACTAAAAATATCCATTTCTTTCCAAGCTACTCTGGCATGTAATACGCAGAGGGGACTGTAGTCTGAACAAGTTAGAATGATTTGTGTTTGTGTTTATAGGACTCAAAAAACTACAATGCATCCACTGCCATCCTGGTAAACATTCGCCATGTAGATTTGCATCCAATTGAAGCATGGTGCTGCTAACCCAAACCGAACACAAGCACGATAACCATGAGTGCTGATAATTTTAACTGTGAATATGCACTCGAACAAAAACTGCGAATATGCACTCAAACATGTTTGTAGACCCATAAACGTACATGCCAAAGCACCATACAAAGGGAAGGCAAGTTGACCTTCCATCAGTACATGTAAAGAGTAAGCAATAGTTAAAATATTAAAATGATCTTTATTATCCTGAGGCTGCACCAAAGAATTACGGCAAGCAACCCAAGGGGTTTAACAAACTTTTGATCTTTATACAAAAAACTGTTACATAACACTAAAACACGCTGTTACAAAAAAAAAAAAAAAAAAAAAAAAAAAAAAAAAAAAAAAAAAAAAAAAAAGATTTCATGCTTCCTTAACCTGCTGGTTGTGTTCTTGAAGTGCTTGGTTCCCTAAAGGATACCGTTGCCAATGACTTGGATGCCCATGCCTTTGCATTCATTGCCCCTTCCTGAAGATTGCTTCTCTTGCGCGGATTCAACCTGTTTAAACCCTGCTTGGCTTCCTGAAGGTAAGCCTGGAAATGATCCCACAAGCTCAGAAGGCTGGCATATCGAATATGCCTCCTCCAAGTTCTCTCCGCACATGCATTGAGCGTTGGAATAAGGAGGTAGAGTAACTTCAGTAGCACGAAGGAGCTCGCAAGAGCCAGATAGGTATCTTGTTGAAGCAACTTCTCAGGTGACCTCGCCCACAAAAATGGGCAGTTCTCTTGCTCTGTGACATCCTCAGGTTCAGGAAGGTCTGGTGAATCTGCTGCTCTGTGCACAAATGCTGGATCCAGTGTAGCAGGCTTAAGGCCTGTTTGTGTAACATACATTAGAAATGAGAAGCTACAGTAACACTGCTATTACTAGAACAATAAATATTAGAAATGCTGGCTACATATTGGTTCTTCAATGCTCTATGACTAACTTAAGCTTTACATGCTTTCTTGGATGTCATCAACTAGAGAGGGCAGCCGCAGTCCACAAGACAAACTTAGCATGACATGGGCAAAGTTTAATAAAATCCTTAAAAGGCAATATGTAAAGGCAGTAAAGATTATCATCAGAACGCATCATTATTCAATCAAAGAAGAAACACCTCAGTAATAAGTTAGGGTTTCAATTAGGCGTTTAATATTCTTAAATAGGAATTGGAGTTACAAAACTCAAAGACCATTGAAATCCTATATAACTTGGCATAATCCTTCATAGTTCATGAACAGAAACAGAAAAAGAAATTTTGAGCTTTGTTTGGTGAGTGTGGCGTGTGTGTGTGGGGTGTGTGTGTGCGTGTGTGGGGGTGTGTGTGTGTGTGTTGGGGAGGGAGAGGAGGAGGAGGAGGAGGGGGAGAGAGGAGAGAGGGGGTTTTAAGGGGGGGGGTAGAAGACAGGAATAGACATTCAAAGGTGTGTGTATGATTTGCCGCATCCCCCTCTGGCTGAGGGTTTCACCAGTGGTGGTCACCCCGCTACCTAAGAGCATGGGCAGCAACTCCCAGAGCCGCTCCAGAGATCGGACTGGGCCAGCTTCTGCTTCACCACCCTCCCACAGGCCCATCGCTCCACCCGCGTCCCAAGATCCGACGTGGCGTGGAGGCTGTTCGAGTAGCTTGCCCAAGCGCGTCCATAAGTTTGTGGAGCGCTTGGGAGGCTCCACCCTCGGGATTTCGATTACAAAAAAACCCCTCCCCAAATCCGTACGAGATGATAGGCGGAGATGATGGATGATGGCGGAAGAGATGGATGTGCGAGAGATGGCAGATGATGTTCGCCGAAGGCCGCGGATTGGATCGAGACTGATGCCGGTGATATGGCTTAGAGCATGGTATGATGGCGGAATGACGCGGAGATGGCGGACCGATGATGTCGACGAAGGACGCGGTTGGGATCGAGAGACTGATGGCGGAGATGATACGGCGGAGATTGATGGAATGATGGCGGAGATGGCGGAGATATGTCGACGAAATTGGGTTGGGTTCTGTTGTCGAAGGGAGAAAGATGAAGTTTACTTTTTTACAATGTCCTACGAATGGGTTGGGTCTGTGTGTTGAGGTGAAAACTTTGAGTTGTAGAAATTTTCGTTGAAATGTGAGTTGAAATAAAAATCCCGAACGTTGTGAAAATGCAGCCGTTGGAAAATTGTGACCCGTTGTGAACAATATAGGACGCTTAAAAAATCAGCTGTCTGTTGAAAATTTACTGTTGTAAAAATCATCTATAAATGCATCCCAATTCAATTCACAAATCCATCCCCACAATCAAGACTCTCTGCCAAAATCATTCCCTATCAAATTATACAAAATCTCCATGGATCCTCACAAAACTATATTCGCACCTCCTTGTCCGGTGAACGGATCGACCTTATACCCGCCGTTCTAATACAGACAAGTCTAAAGAAAGTAACCTCCCCATCGGAGTACGCAATCGCCCAACCACCAACAAGTGGTCATCCCAAAGAAACCACCGACCACAAAGAAGAAGAAGGCTTACACGCGGTCCGAAAATTGCACTGTCCACGCAGGAAAGCTTCTTGTGTCTCGCTTGCTGAACACGAGCCAAAGAACGCCATCCAAGGTACGGGGCAACACAAAGGATTAAGTTGTGGCAGCCGCGAGCTAACGACTATTTTTAGTCCTATACCCACCGATTCCAAGCGAGCCCACGCCAAACCAAATGATGCATCGTTGGTCAACGATTCAACTGTCCGTCAACAAGTTCTGCGAGTGCGTTGCTCAGATTGAAGGAAGACAAAGATCTGGTACGGGAATTATTGACCAGGTAAATATTTAATTATGTTTGATTATTTTTGCTCAGATTCAATATGTTTAATTATGTTTGATTATTCTAAAATTAACTCTTGTGTAGACTGCAGAAGTAAAAGAATTATACCAATCTCTTTATGGTAAACCATTCGTGTTTGACCATTGCTGGGTTGAGTTGCGTCATCATCAAAAGTGGATCCAACAAATGGAAACTTACAATAAGATTCGATCACAGTCGAGAAGAACCACAAACTCTGATTCCTCACCAAACAATTCCTCTCCAGCAACCCCCATCGAGTTGAACACTGACTCGGATGATGTGTTAGTAAGGCCTGAAGGGAGGAAAGCAGCAATGCTCAAGAGGAAACAAAATGTGGAAAACTCTGAGTCCGCTACGTCCATCATGGGAGAGGCTTTCGCGTGGATGAAGCAAACCACCAATCAAAAAATGGATCTAAAACAGAAGAAACAAGATGACGATATCATGAAGATGGATCTCTCAACACTCAATTCAGTTCAACGACAATACTTTGAAATGCGTCAGGCAGAGATATTGGAGAGGTGGATGTCTAAGGGTTCTTCCTAATTATCATATATTATCTTGTATTAGATTTATGATTGTACTCGCATCGCATCCTAATTAGTTCTTCCTAATTATCTTGTATTAGATTTATGATTCTACTTGAAGTTGAAAATTTTGGCATTTAATGAAAACAACTACTTCATTGAAAAGAAAATTGGCGTAGTACAACAACTCGAACTTCTTTGCTGAAATTACATTAGACATAAAGAAACTTAATCCTCGTCGATGGATCCCTTGAGCTGCCACAGATGCTCGATCAAATCATTCTTTAGTGATTTGTGTGTTTGCGTGTTCCTGATCCGATGATGATTTTGGATGAACTCAGTTAGAGGCACCGTCTGCACATGAGAAGGTTCAACGACTGGTATCGAATCATTAAAGTCGAAGTTGTTGTCCAATTGACAATCTCGTTCATCTTCAACGATCATGTTATGCATTATGATGCAAGCTGTCATGATGTCTTTCAGCACACTAGGTTGCCAGAAACGTCCTGGTCCACGAACAATCGCAAATCGAGCTTGCAACACGCCAAAAGCTCGCTCAACATCTTTTCTTGCGCTCTCTTGTTGTTGAGCAAAGTATTTATGCTTGTTTCCTCGTGGTGCTGGAATAGTCTTCACTAATGTGGACCACTCTGGGTAAATCCCGTCGGCGAGATAGTATCCCATATTGTATTCGTGGCCATTAACAGTATAGTTGCACGGTGAAGCTCTTCCCTCCGCAAGTTGTGCGAAAACCGGTGAACGATGTAGCACATTGAGGTCATTGTGAGACCCCGGCAGTCCAAAGAAGGCATGCCATATCCAAAGATCTTTGCTAGCTACGGCCTCCAAAATAATTGTAGGTTCATGAAAATGCCCAGTATACATACCTTGCCAGGCGGTTGGACAGTTCTTCCATACCCAGTGCATGCAGTCGATGCTCCCAAGCATACCAGGAAAACCTCGTTGTGAACCCTCCTCAAGCAGGCGTGCAACGTCGTCATTAGTCGGTGAACGAAGGTATTCCTCCCCAAAGATGTTGATAATCGATCGAACGAACCTCTTCACGCTCTCAAGCGACGTACTTTTACCGATCCGAACGTAGTCGTCAACGGCGTCAGCGGATGCTCCATATGCGAGCATCCGCATAGCTGCAGTAATCTTTTGAAGGCTAGATAGTCCTAACTGTCCAGCACCATTCCTCTTTTGGACGAAGTACTTGTCATGTTCGACGACAGCGTCGTGGATTCGAAGGAATAACGAACGCGACATTCTGAATCTTCGACGAAAATAATGAAGAGGATATGTTGGTGTGTCAGCAAAATAATCTTGGAACAACCGATTGTGGCCTTCCAGTCGGTATCGATGGAGCACGGTACATCTTTTGTGTTGAACTGAAGTTGAACCTTTCCCTTGTTCTTCTTCCGCGACGACAGCAGCTCCCATAAAAAAGAACGTTTTCATCGTTTCATCATCGCTTGAGCTAGATGAGCTAGACATTTTGTTCTGGGAGATGATGAGTTGGGGTGAGAAGGCATCGAATTTTATAGGAATCAGTCGGTTGACGGTCAAAGTTTGCGATACCTCGAAGTTCGAGCTTAACCTCGAAGACCGCGAGCTACCTCGAAGACCGTGTGCGTTCCCTCGAAGACCGCGAGTTACCTCAAAGACCGTGTGCGTACCCTCGAAGACCGTGTGCGTTACCTCGAAGACCGTGTGCGTACCCTCGAAAGCCGCGGGCTAGCTCGAAGACCATGTGCGCTCCCTCGAAGACCGTATCCAACGGTTAGAAATAAAATACAAGAGGTTTAAATATAATTAAAAGTAATGGGTAAAATATTAAAATAGAAGAGGGGTTTTTTTGATATTGTTGGAGCTCCTAACTAGGAGCTTGTTGGAGCTCCATAAAATAAGGAGATGCTCCCAAGGCCTATTTTTATAATTTTTTATACCAAATTGCTTGAGAGCTCTTGAGAGCTTGATGACTAGGACTCCTAACTGGGAGCTTGCTGGACTTGCTCTAAGCCAACTAAACCCATTTGGGTTCGGGTGCATACAATAAGCAGATGTAGGACAAGAGGAAACTGAGAAATTTCCTGTAGCCCCTTGTAATTCAGGAAATTAGTTTTAAAGCACATAAATGAGTTGCAGAAAATACTTGTTGGGAAAAATTATCTTTACCCCCCAAGTCCTTAAAAGGTTTAGTTTGAAGACTATAAGAGAGTTTTAACAGAAAAAAAGTAATGAGAAAATTATCATTTGATCCATATTTTCCTAAACTATTATTTTTTATGTCCAAAATGATATAGTTCAGAAAAGAAATCTTTAGAGTTCATAGATTAATAAAGAATAAATAAATCAGGTAAAAATAGTTTATGTACAGAATCTTTAGTATTAGAATATTTATACATAATTACATATTGTAAGCTTGTAGTTATTAGTTCAATTTTAGGAAATTTACTGTTCAAATGACATTTATTGAAGAGTTTCATAATTATCGAAAGTAACTAAATTGATATGGAATCATGAATACTCTAATTTTTTTTTCATGAAAGAGAGATGATAAATTTTAAGAAAATGTTTAAGGCATAGTATATTGCTTTTCGAACTAGTGGAAATTGCAAGTGATATTTTAAGGGGAAAAAGTGTTTTTAAATGTTAAAAATCCTCATAAGCCCAATATGGAGTGAAGTGATTTGTTTAAACCTACAATATAGTATTAAATGTATCACATAGTGATAAGTTTGAATATTGCCTTTTGGCATAACACTGAAGTGGCCTTTATGGTAATTCTAGGTACATTTTGTCCCCGTGTTGGCTTATAATAATTGATGCACGTTCTCATGCTACTTGGCTATAATTTTCGTAGTATTAGTGTGAAAGTGAAAAGTGAGAAAGTTTTGCAAATTGTAATAGAGATAGGCTTTAATTTATAGTTAAAACTTAAAAGTATTTAAGTCTCATCTTATATTGTTTTTTGAATTTTTATAGTACTGTCACTCACTGTATATGAAAGATTTCTGTTATTCAAAATTTTATATGTTTCTTAAAATCGTTCTTTTAGTTGATGGTAGCTTGTTTAAAAATATTAGTTCTGGTAATTGCTTAAACTTATCCGATCCACTAATGAGAAGGTATTTGCTCATTGAGTGCAACCTCAACCCGTTATTTTCATTCTTCTTCGTCAGATGAGAATTAGATAGCTCTATTGTAGCTCAAAGATTTGGGACATGAAAAGAATCTATTAGAGAATGCTTTGATGCTAAAGTCTATGGTCATCTTAGAGATGATTTATGTTGATGTAACAAGAGTCTTTTGACCTATTAGAGTGATCTTGTTAAGTGTAGTTTTTTGCTTTTGCTCTGAGACTTCTATATTAACAAAGTTTTTTTATGTGAAATTTTATTTGTAATATGGATGTGCAAAACAGGCTTAGCAATAGCATGTGGTTTTTGAACAGGTTTCCATTGCCACATATGTCAAATCATGTTGCGCATTTGGGGACGTGACAAGTTACCAAATTTCCAAAAAAAAATTCCAGATTCCCAGGGGCCAATAAGGTAATTAATCAGTAGCAAGAAAAGGTAGTTCCCTACAACCTAGCAGAGGCGTGGCTGAAAATTTGGGGGCCCGGTTCTAAATTTGGGAGGACAGGGAGGCGATGGACGATGAAGGGGGAAGGTGGCGAAGGAAAGGGAGGAGAAGGCTTGGATGGCGGTTGCGGTCGAGTCCTCTTGTTTTGATGATGCTTTAACAAACAATTTACCACTGATCTTGTTTTCAGTATCTTGTTTAGTATTGTGTTAGCATATACAGCCTACAGGTATATACAAGAATTTGACCTACAACTCATTTATTGAAGCCATGCACATCTCTAGTCAATTCAAGCCCAGGCTTCAGAAGAATTCTTCTTGGTATACTTAGTATAGGTTTATATATTGTGTGACATTCTATGAGCTCAAATACACACACATACATCATTTATGAATTTTTCATTAAAACAAAGGTTTTTATGCAAAATACATTCAAATATATTTTGGGTCATATAAACTATGTTAATATCCTTTACTATGGCCATATAAAGTATATACAAGTTTTCATTTGTTGATTTGAACCAAAATGACAAAAACAACATGTCATGTATTTTAGCATTTTTGCATATTCAAATGTTTTTACAAATGGGAAGAGCTATTTGAAAAATTCCTTTTCCAACATCTTCATATTCATGTTCATAAACTTTCCCCAAAGTTTTACATTTTTTGGAAATTATTTGCTATTTTTAATAGAGCTTCAAAAATCATCTTCAGAACTGATTCTGACAGATTTCTTGTGATCAGTCAACTGATGTGTCGACTGAAAAATATGGCTGGAATCTTCATTTAGCCTCTGCTCCATTTTAGTCGACTGATGTGTCGACTGACCATGTCAGTCGACTGATAAGTTTTTATCAGTCGACTGAAAAGCTGGCATTTGAATTTAACGACCAGCTCATCAGTCGACTGGCACCACCCGTCAATCGACTGATAAGCTCTCCAACGGCTAGTTCTGAGAAAAATCTGGTTCTTAATTTTTGGGATATTTTGCTGGTCTTCATTGGGTTTTGTGCACTGTTTTCTCTTCCTATATAAACCCCCTAATGTCTTCTTTAGCAAATAGAGTTTTTCATGTGTTTTTAACAAAAGTTTAAAAGATTATCAAAGTTTGTTTAAGAGTTTTAGTTTGGTTTAACAAGAGGTGGCTTGCTCTTCAAATTGAGGAATTCATCCTCAATCTTCTTCAACCTCTCTTGTGCTTTATAGAGAAATTTTTTAACTCTATTCTCTAGCAATTTGTCCTTGATTATTTATACATTATTATTGCTAGTTTATTGATTGAGTTAGATTTTATTTATTCTCTTTTATCACACTTATCCACATTTGAGCTTATAGTGTTTCATACAATATATTGTTGGATAGTAGTGTGTGATTTAGTGATATTGGGATTCATTGGGTTCTCATATATTGTAGAGAACAAATTTATCTTTGTTATATTGTGAGTGTTGTAAAGTTTTCGGTGAACTAGAAAACCGATTGTGAGGAGTGACGTTGATCGGTGAGCGTTGAAAACCGACACTGTGAGGTGTAAACGTTATTCGGGTGAGCGTAGAAAACCCGGTTGTGATAGTGGATTTTTCCCCGGGGGTGGGGAGCGGAGACGTAGGACGGAAGGTCCGAACTCCGTGATCATATCTTGTGTTTGAGTGTGCTTTGGCGTTTATTTATACTTGTGTTTATATTTCTTATCGTCATTGTCATTAGCTCATTATTTATATGATCCACTATCTAGCTCATATAGTTTACCCCTTGTGTTTGCATATTCTTGCATATATCATATAGTATACCTCTTTGCTAGGATATATCACCTTGTGTATATTCCATATTCTTGCACATAACTCTTTGTATATCTATCTTGCAAGAATATATTTATTAATTAGTTTTAATTGGCATAAAATCGGATTAGATTAGCATAAGACCCTAATCACCCCCCTCTAGGGTCTAACAATTGGTATCAGAGCTTGAAAGATCAAGTCAGAGCTTAGATCTTTAGGAATCGGCAAAAGCTTCTTGAGGATGTTTGTGAAGAAGGAAGACTCTCTCTTGCTCCAAATCACCAAAAGCTCAAGCCTTTTCTGCTCTAAAATGCCGGTGTGTTAGATTTAAACTTTTTGTTCAATCTAAACACTTTGATTTATGAAAAATTATAGATGATGCTTATATTATGCCCACTTTGGAGAAATCCAAATGGAATAAGAATGATCATCATATGTTTACAATGAATAATATTTTGTTAGAATATTTACTAAATACTTTTAATTCATCTATGTCTAACAAGTTTGTTCATTTTGATAGTGCTTACAAACTTTGGAAATTTTTAGAAGCACATCAAGGAGACTTGGAGGCGATCCGACAAGCTTTGGAGGATCCCGCTTCAAGTTCATACGGAGCTTCATGCACACGGCCATTAGGCGATAGCCCTAGTGAGGTTTGCGAGTTCGAAACCATTAATGATTTACCTAATGATGAACTTGCTTGTGCTAGTGAAAAATTGTTGCATGTCTTTAACAAATTGCATAAAGATTTTGTTGATTTACAATGCAAGCATGATAATTTAAAATCCGATCATGAGAAGCTAGTGTCCAAATTTGATGTCATTGAAAATGAAAATACTATGCTTAAAGAAAGCAATGACTTATTAAATTTGGAAAATAAAAATTTGATCTCATCTATTGCTAGCCTATCTCATGCTAAGATTGATGCCATGTTAGAAGTAGAGAACATAAAGAATGATACAGCTTCTTTTATAAATAACTATTTATGTTCTACTTCTAAAAGTACATATGTGCCTAAAAATGAAGACTTGAATCTTATGAAAAATAGTATTTCATCTTTAGATTCAACTTTAAAAATATACATTAACAATCATAAGAAGCTTATGGATATGTGTGCCAAGACTAAATCAAAATCATCCACTCATTATGCACACATGTATAGCAAAACTTATAAGTGTTCTATATGCGGCCGTCAAGGTCATTTAGCTAAGTTTTGTTATGATGCACACAAAACTAATAAGAATTCTAATGCTCCTGCATCTCATGTAGCTTCTTCATCTTGTACACTTACACATTCACATGCTCATTCTCACAAAGTTCATCATAAGCATGCTAGTGTGTTCAAGTGTGATCATTGTGATCGTTTTGGTCATTTGACCAAATATTGTTTTGATTTAAAAAATAAGTCTCATTTGCCAAATATTTCTAGTAGACCACATGTTTATAAATGTAATGTTTGTGGTAGATTTGGTCACTTAGGAAAGTTTTGTTTTAATAATGTTTCACATTTGCAAAAAGCTTCAAATAATTCATCTATGTTTGCAAATGTTTCTAATATTTCCCGTGCACAATCATTTGGTCAACGCAAATTATTTCAACCTTTTCATTGCACAAATTACAATCGTAAAGATCATTTATATAATTTTTGTTTTGACCGTATC